TCCTCACGTGGTATAAAAGTGTCAATTGAATCCAAACATAGAAAAAATTTGTGTCAAAGTAGTCATTTTTCCTATATCTCTGTGTCTTCCTTTCATATGTCACTTCTCTGGAGCTATGAAAAGCCTTAAATTGGATAAGGTAAAATGAATATCTGTACTTGATTGTATGAAAGGAAGACACAGATATATAGGAAAAATGACTACTTTGACACAAATTTTTTCTATGTTTGGATTCAATTGACACTTTTACACCACGTAAGGACGACAATGAAACTTTTACACCACGTGAGGATGACAATGAAACTTTTTTAAAAATGAGGATGAATTTGACACAATTCAACCAAACTGAGAACAAAGGAAGCAATTAAACCAAAAGAATAACACAATAACACTTTGCAATGACACTCTTAAAGATTATCTTTGTTCGCCATGTAAAGTTCACTTGCAATTCCAATTAGTGGCTACAACGTTCCATTTTCACTACACTAACTTTATTATTTCCGAGCAGAAAACGAAGGAGAAGCTTCTCAGTTCCCAAAATACAACAAAACCCTCTGATTGAAAACTATGTGAATGATTATTAATTTCCCTTTCTCCAAAACTCTTGGGAATTTCTATAGACACCAATGTCAGTATATATATTTATTCTCCTCTTGGTTTCCCTCCTCACTCTCAAGCAAAAGGCTCTACTCATTTGTTTTGTAACGTGCTTTTCAATGGATTATTGTAGCAAACATGATATTCTGCTAGTGGGAGAGGAAGATTTTTCATTCTCACTAAGTCTGGCTAGGACAATTGGCACAGCCAAATACATGGTTGCTACCTCTTTGTATCATAGAGGTACATTTTTAAATATATATTGAAGTTGAAACATTGTACATATATGATGCATGCAACTTTGCAAACGTGATATATATATATATATATAAAATACATTTTGCTGACTGTTTCATCATGTTTAATTGCATGCACAAAAATTTTAAGTGACTTTGGAGAATAAGTATTGTCCAGAGGTGTCACAAAACATGAAAGAACTTGAGGATCTTGGTTGCACCATTTTGACTGAAGTTGATCCAAAGACAATGGCCCAACACGATATTCTGCAACATCGAAGGTTTAATCGCATAATTTATAATTTTCCTCATGCTAACTTCTATCGTCCAGAAAGTGAAGGCTCCCAGATTCAGTAAGTTAATTATGCAAAAAATATGCAAGTTATTTTTGTTTAGCTGTATATATTCACACTATGCATATTCCAAACTAAATGCAGGCTTCACAAGAACGTAGTTAGAGGATTTCTGCAAAATGCTAAACTTATGCTTCAATCTAATGGTGAAATCCATATAAATCACAAGAAAAAACACCCTTACTCTTTGTGGGATATCGAGTTTTTGGCAAGCTGTGAGCATTTGAAACTTGTTGGAGAAGTTAAGTTTGATCAAGCTCTTTATCCTGGTTACAAGATCAATAGAGAATCTCGGTCATCATGTGATCAAAGTTCTGTTATTGAAGAAAGCAGTACTTTCAAGTTCTCATTTTAAACTGTTGCTAAAATAAATATTAGTATTATTGACCTATGTTTTTTTGCTTCCTTATGAAAATTGCAACATTGGTTTTCGGTTTAAGCTATATCAATTTTAAGTTATGATCATAGAGTTTTGAATCTCCATTTCTTTCTCTTGTGAACTTCCATGTGTAGCATTCTTGTGATAGGGTGAACTTGACATTCAGAAACGTAGTAATATA